AAAGAAAGGAAGAAAAAAAGAAGAGAATGAAAAAGAAAGAAAAAAGGAATAAAGAAATAAAAAACTGAGGAGATAGAAAGAGATAAAGAATAAAAAAAAAAAAAGAAGAGAATGAAAAAGAAAAGCTAAGAGGGAGAATAAAGAAAGAAAAAGAAGAAAAAAAGAGGAATAAAGAAAGAAAAACTGAGAAGTAGATAGAAAAGATAAAGAATAAAAGGTAAAAAAAAAGAGAATGAAGAAAGAAAAGCTAAGAGGGAGATAAAAGAAAGAGAAAAAAAAGAAAAAAGAGGAAAAGAAAAAAACTGAGAAAAAAGAGATAAAGAATAAAAGTAAAAAAGAAGAGAATGAAGAAAAGAAAAGTAAGAGGGGAGATACAAAGAAAGAGAAAAGAAGAGAAAAAGAGGAATAAAGAAAAAAAACTGAGAAGTAGAAGAAAGAGAAAAGAATAAAAGGTGAAAAAAAAGAGAATAAAAAAGAAAAAAAGAAGGAGAAAAAAGAAAAGAAAAAGAAAAGAAAAGAGGAATAAAGAAAGAAAAACTGAGAAGTAGATAGAAAGAGATAAAGAATAAAAGGTGAAAAAGAAGAGAATGAAGAAAGAAAAGCTAAGAGGGAGATACAAAGAAAGAGAAAAAGAAGAGAAAAAAGAGGAATAAAGAAAGAAAAACTGAGAAGTAGATAGAAAGAGATAAAGAATAAAAGGTAAAAAAGAAGAGAATGAAGAAAGAAAAGCTAAGAGGGAGATACAAAGAAAGAGAAAAAGAAGAGAAAAAAGAGGAATAAAGAAAGAAAAGAAAGAAGAGAAAAAAAAGATAAAGAATAAAAGTAAAAAAGAAGAGAATGAAGAAAAAGAAAACTAAGAGGGAGATACAAAGAAAGAGAAAAGAAGAGAAAAAAGAGGAATAAAGAAAGAAAAAAAGAAGTAGATAAAAGAATAAAATGAAAAAGAAAAGAAAAGAAAGAAAAGGGAGATACAAAGATAAACAAAGAAAAAGAAGAGAAAAAAGAGGAATAAAGAAAGAAAAACTGAGAAGTAGATAGAAAGAGATAAAGAATAAAAGAAAATGAAAAAAGAAGAGAATGAAGAAAGAAAAGCTAAGAGGGAGATACAAAGAAAAGAGAAAAAAGAAGAGAAAAAAGAGGAATGAAGGAAGAAAAAAACCTGAGAAGAGATGGATAAAGAAAAAAGAAAAAAGAAGAGAATGAAGAAAGAATGATAACAAAGAAAGAGAAAAAGAAGAGAAAAGAGGAATTGAAAGAAAAAGCAAAGGAAAGACAGAAAGAAAGAAAGAAAAAAAGTAAAAAGAAGAGAAAAAGAAAGAAAATGAAGATACAAATAAAAAAAGAAGAGAAAAAAGAGGAATAAAAAAATTGAGAAAAAAGAAAGAGACAAAAAGAAAAAAGGAAAAAAAAGAATGAAGGATGAAACAAAGGGGAGATAGAAAAAAAAAAAGAAGAGAAAAAATAGAAAAGAGAAAGAAGAATGAAAAAGACAAAAATGAAAAATATAAAAATAATAAAAAGAAAGAGAAAATGAAGAAAATGATGAAAGAAATACTGAGAGGGCAGTAGAAAGAATAATAAAAAGAAGTGGAGAAAAGAAAAGAAAGATGGAGAATGAAAGAAAAAGAGAATGAAGAAAAAAAAGTTAAGAGGGAGAACAAAGAAAGAAAAAGAAGAAAATGAGGAAAATGAAAAAAAACTGAGAAAGATAAGACAAAAGAAATAAAAGAAAGAAAGAAAAAAGATAAGACAAAAGAAAGAAAAGAAAGAAAGAAAAAAGAACAAAAGAAAGAATGAAGGAAAGTAAACCTGAGAGGCAGAGCGAATGATAAGTTAATGAAGTAAAATGAAGTAAAGGAAAAATGAAAAGAGAAATAAAAGGAGAAAATAGGAGAAAAAACAGAAGAAAAAAAATGAAAGAAAAAAAAGAGAAAGAAAAAATCTAAAAGGTAAAAAGAAAGAATGAAGAAAGAAAAAAAGAAAAAAAAGAAAGAAGAAGAAAAAAGAAATATATAGAATAAAATAGTGGACAAGAAAAAAAAGAAAAAATAAAAAGAAAAAATGAAGATACAAAGAAAAAAGAAAAGAAAAAACAAATAAAGTAACAAAGAAGAGAAAAAGAGAAAAAAAAAAAAAAAGAAGAGAATGAAGAAAAAAAAAAGAGGAAGGGAAAATGAATAGGAATAAAGAAAGAAAAAAAATGAAAGAGATAAAAAGAAAAAAAAGAATGAAGAAAGAAGAGATGAGAAATAGTTAGAATAATAAGATGAAGAAAAAGAAAAGAATGAGAAAGAAAAAGAAAAAACAAAAAGCTGAAAGGTTGATAGAAAAAATGATAAAAAAAGGAGAAAAATAAAGAAAGAAAATTCAAGAAATAGAATGATAAAAAAAAACGAAGAACTGGAAAATAAAGTATGAAGAAAGAAAAACTAAGATGAAGATAAAAAAAGAAGAGGAAGAAAAAGGAAGGAAAAAATGAGAAATATAAAGAATACAAAGAATGAGAAAAAATGAAAATGAAGAAGAAAAAATGAGAGAAGTAGATAGAATGATAAGAAAAAAGGAGGCGGAGAAAAAGAAAAAGAGAGAAAGAAAAAAATTATAGAAAACATAGTGAGAATAATAAAAAAAAAGTGGAACAAGAATGAAGAAAGAAAAGAAAGGGAGATACAAAGAAAGGAAAAGATAGAAAAAAGGAATGAGGAAGGAAAAAAGAAGAAAGTAAAGAATGAAGAAAGAAAAGTTGAGAAAAAGAAAAAAAGAAGAGAAAGATGAAGGAATTTTAAGATGAAAAAAGAAGGAGAATATAAGAGAAAGCAAAATGAGAGGTTGAAAGAGAGAATGATAAAAATGAGAGATTGAGAGAGAGAATGATAAAAATTAAGGGGAAAACGAAGAGAATGAAAGCTGAAAAAAAGAAATGCTAAGAAGAAAGAAAAATGAAAAGTATAAAAAATGAATGATATAAAGGCAAAAGAAAGAAAAAAAGAAAAAAAGAAATAAAGAATGAAGAAAAGCGAAAAAACTGAGAGAAAAATGAAAAAAAAAAAGAAAGAAATGAAGAATGAAGAACAAAGAGGAAAATATAAAAAAAAAAAGGAGAAAGATGAAAAAAAAGGTAGAAAATAGTGGAAAAGGAAAAAAAAAAAAAAAAACAAAATTATGAAAACAAAAAAAAGAAGAGAAAAAAAAAAAAAAAAATTGATGAAAAAAAAGGAAAAAAAAAAAGAAAAAAAAATGAGGAAAAAAAAAAAAAGAAAAAAGAGAAAATTATGATGAGAAAAAAAGAAAAAAGAAGAAAAAAAAGAAAAAAAAAAAAAAAAAAAAAAATTATGATGAAAAAGAGGAAAAAAAAAAAGAAAAAAGAAATAGAATGATAAAAAAAATTAAGAATGATGAAAGAGGAAAAAGAAAAAAAATTATGAGAAAAAAAAAAGAGGAAAAAAGAAAAAGAAAAATTATGATGAAAAAGAAAAGAGGAAAAAAAAGAGAAAAATTATGATGAAAAAAAGGAAAAAAAAAAGAACAAAATTATGAGAATACAAAAAAAAGGAACAAAAAAAGACAAAATTATGATGAAAAAAGAGGAGGAAAAAAAGAAAAAATTATGATGAAAAAAAGGAGAAAAAAGAAAAAAAGAATGATGAAGGAAAAGAAAAAAAAAAAGGAAAAAAAGAGAGGTTGGAAAAAAATTATGATGAGATTGAAGAGGAAAAAAGACAAAAAATTATGATGAAAAAGAGCTGAAAAAAAAAAAAGAGAAAAAAAAATGAATGATGAAAAAAAGAAAAAAAAAAGACAAAAAGAATGATGAAAAAAAAAGAGAAATGAAAAAAAGAAAAAAAATGATGAAAAAAAAGGAAAAAAAGATGAAAAAATTATGATGAAAAAAGGCAAAAAAAAGACAAAAAAGAAAAAAGGGAAAAAAAAGACAAAAATTATGATGAAAAAAGGAAAAAAAAAAAGATGAAAAAAATTAAAAATGACAAAAAATGATGAAAAAAAAAAAAGACAAAAATTATGATGAGAAAGAAAAATGAAAAAATGATGAAAAAGAAAAAAGACAAAAATTATGATGAAAAAGAGGAAAAAAAGACAAAAATTATGATGAAAAAGAGGAAAAAAAAGACAAAAATTATGATGAAAAAAGAGAAAAAAAGACAAAAATTATGATGAAAAAGGGGAAAAAAAAGACAAAAATTATGATGAAAAAAGAGAAAAAAAAGACAAAAATTATGATGAAAAAAGAAAAAAAAAGACAAAATTATGATGAAAAAAAGAGGAAAAAAAAAAGAAAAAATTATATGAAAAAGGAAAAAAGAAAAAAATGAAAAAAGGAAAAAAAAGACAAAAATTATGATGAAAAAGAGGAAAAAAAGACAAAAATTATGATGAAAAAAGGAAAAAAAAGACAAAAATTATGATGAAAAAGAGAAAAAAGACAAAAATTATGATGAAAAAAGGAAAAAAAAGACAAAAATTATGATGAAAAAGAGGAAAAAAAAGACAAAAATTATGATGAAAAAGAGGAAAAAAAGACAAAAATTATGATGAAAAGAGGAAAAAAGACAAAATTAGATGAAAAAAAAAAAATTATGATGAAAAAGGAAAAAAAAGACAAAATTATGATGAAAAAAAGGAAAAAAAGACAAAAAAATTATGATGAAAAAGGAAAAAAGACAAAAATTATGATGAGGAAAAAAAGATGATGAAAAAGGAAAAAAAGAAAAATTATGAAAAAAAAAAGGACAAAAAAAAGACAAAAATTATGATGAAAAAGAGGAAAAAAAAGACAAAAATTATGATGAGAAAGAGGAAAAAAAGACAAAAATTATGATGAAAAAAGGAAAAAAAGACAAAAATTATGATGAAAAAAGACAAAAAGAAAAAAAAAAGACAAAAAATTATGATGAAAAAGAGGAAAAAAGACAAAAATTATGATGAAAAAGAGGAAAAAAAGACAAAAATTATGATGAAAAAAAGGAAAAAAAAGACAAAAATTATGATGAAAAAGAGGAAAAAAAAGACAAAAAAAGAATAAACGAGGAACGACACAATGTACAGAAAGGAAAATGAAGAAAGAAAAGCCGAAAAATAGAATGGAACAACAAAGAAGAAGGAAAACGAAGAGTAAGAAAAATGAATGAATGAGCCAAGATGTAGATCGAAGGAATGATAAAACCACAGGGAAAGGGAAGAGGATGAAAAATGAAGAAAGAAAAGCTGAAAAGTGGATAGTAAGAACAATATAAAGAAGGAGAAAAAGAAGAAAATATAGAGGAAAATGGAAAAGAGGGAAAAATAAAGAAGAAATCAAGGAAGAATTGACAAGAAAAGAATGGGAGAAAAAAACAAGTTGAGGAAGAAAGTGAAGAGAGAAATAAGTAGAGAATTAAATGAAAAATAAAGAGGGAAAGAAAGAAAGTAAAGAAGAAGAAGAAGAAGAAGAAGAAGAAGAAAGAGAACTTTACTAAAAATGTAAGGAGAAGAAAAGGAGAAGGAAAAGAAAAGAGGATAAAAGAAATGAAAGGCGATGAATAAAATAATGATTGTGAAGGGTAAGAAGAAGGAAAAGTAAGAAAGGACATAGAAAGAGAGAACGAAAAAGAATGAGTGGACAAAAAAGAAAGGATAAAAAAGAAGGAAAGAGAAGAACTGGAAAGAGAGATAAGAAAAAAAATAAAAGATGTATGAATTGAAAGAAATAAGAAAAAGATGATGACAAAAATGGACAAGAAGAAAAGGAAGAAGAAATACATATGGAGATAAGTGGAGAAGAAGACTATGCATGAATTGAAAGAAATAAGAAAAAGTAGATGACAAAGAAGTACAAGATGAAGAAGAAGAAATATATATGGAAATAAGTGAAGAAGAAGAAGATGACGATGTGTTAATTGAAAGAAATAAGTAAATGAGTTTGAGAAGATCGACGAAGAAGATGTATATTGAAAGAAATATGAAAGAGAAGATATCCAAGATGATCAAAAAAAGGAAGAAGAAAAAGATGTATAATTTGAAAGAAATTAGAAAAAGAAGATGGCAATGGTGGACAAGAAGATGATTAATAAATAAATATATTATTATTATTATTATTATTAATATTATTATTAATATTATTATTATTAATATTAGAAGAAGAAGAAGAAGAAGAAGAAGAAGAAGAAGAAGAAGAAGAAGAAGAAATTCCAGAAGATGAATGGGAATGAATGAAAATTAACAAAGAATATCAGGATAAAATACATATTTGCTTAGGTTTCATCCACCATTGAAATAAACAAAAGATGAAGATGAAAAAATCCTGAAATACTTTTATTTCTTTTTGTGCTTTTTTGGGGGGAAAGGGGTTGGATAAGGTGAATGATTGAAGCAAAAATGATATACAAATTTACAAGTTAAAGGCAAATGCAATTTTCATTCAAAATATTTCATTTATTCTTTTTGTTATTCATCTTTTTTTTTCTATTTCTTTGCATGGTGGATAAGGTAATCTGTAAGCTTTGCCCAACAAAACACATTCAAGTAAAATAAACAATGCAAAATAAAAACCAAGAAATTATTTATCCCCTTCACATAAAATACAACAAACATCGACAACAATAAACAATCCCTATCCCAAAATGCACACAAAAAAATCTCTCAGATTGACAACAATGACAAAACTAAACAATGCGAAAAAAAAAAAGAAAACTAAACTATTACTGCCCATCGGAGCTTCCAGCAAACAACAAAAAAACCCCTGTCCCATCAAAGATTACCACATTCCATCAAACTGAACCTTCCTATTTTTTACACTGATTTTTTTTTTTTATTTCTTATTTTATCAGTTCTTCAATGTGTGGAGGTAAAAAAAAGAATGGATGGGAAAACATTACTTCTCTTCCTTTCTCTATTGCAGATATTGTTGCTGTGCAAAGGATTGTTCTGCCAAATTCCACTCAGAGCTACAAAATCCTTCCCCTATCAAACATTACTAGCCATTTGTCTCTATCCAATCTAAAATGGTTCTTTTTCTGTAATTCAAACAGTTTATACTCGATTACCACCCTTTGGCAGCATTCTCCATTACCCTCCATTTTTAATTGTGATGTTCTACTCATTTCCCTTGTGAAACTGATGCCCACTAAGAGTTGCCAAACTTGAATAATAATAATAATAATAATAATAATAATAATAATAATAATAATGTGCTTTCTTATTGACATGGCAGTTTCTGCAGATTGTAATGGATCTTTGAAGATCTTCAAAAAACTATCAAAATACAAGGATTTTGGAAATCTCAAAAAATGTGGCACATGAGGACATCAATAATCAGTTTTAGTTCATACCCTTGGATTGAGTGGAAAAAGTCCATAAACTCATTGAAGGGATTCCTGGCAGGCCATGCCATAAAGAAATACAAAAAATTGTCTTCACAAATACAGCTCACACATGAAGAGCTTTATCTATGTAAAATGTGTTTGATCTTAGATTCTTTTTGTTTTTTTTACAAAAATGACCTGTGGAAAAAGTCATGAAGCTATTTCTAAACCTTAGGTCTCTGGCTGGAACCCAGAAGGAAATGTGTCTACAACAGAAACCCAAGGAAATAATAATAATAATAATAATAATAATAATAATAACTGGTTTTAACCTGTGAAAATTTCACAGTTTTTCTATCTAAATTTCTGATAAATCTTAATCCTTCAGTTAATGATTGAATAAGCTCATGGCGATTTCTATGACAGTAAAAGATCTATAGAAATTCACATATTGCATCATTAAATTTTTGAGCTTAACAACTTTACCAAAATATTGCAATAACAATCATAAATATGAATGCTGGTCGTTACTTTAAGAATTAAGGGGATACAAATGAAAAGATCTGAAATTGACAACAGATGTCTGATTTCAAGTCAGTATATAAGTGTCCCTGAAAAGAAAGAAAGGATTTACATATACAGAAAGAGAGAGAAGGAAGTGTTAGGGAGGAATTCGTTCAACTAGACTGTTGCTCTGATCAGTGGAAGTGAGATAGACGATTGCTGACTGTTCCTTTGAATTTGCCCATTTGAAGTGATTACATCTATCCAAGTTTTCGTCAGTTGCCTACACAGCACTACAATATAATGATTTGATTGGTTTAAAAAAAAGGGATTCAATGAAATTGATTTTGTAATTTTCAAATTCGAAAGTCTGGGTATAGTTTCTTGCGTGTGGATATATGTGTACCCTGAAAACGCTTTATATAATCTACAGGAGTAGACTGTTCTCGTTCCAATATCGATATCTAGCAATTTTTCGTTTTGTTATTATTTAGTACTGCTCAGTTTTTGCGCGTTCTATCTAAACACCCAAATACTATATTCTCAAATTCACAAACCAACGTTTTGATCCACGAGGCAGAAAAATAGGTAAGTGTTGTAAGTTATTATAAACATTTTACATAGTGATAGTAATTATACGTGTTCTCTGTCAGATTAAATTTGCTAAAGAAATATGTAGCTAAATATGTACGCAGTGAACGAAAGAAAATCGTTTTAAAATATAGTCTTACATTGTCAAACGAATGTCTCAAAATTCTGCTCTCCTTGAGTAAGGCATGTTAAAAATTGAGGCGATTCCTTCACTCAAACATAAGAGAAACATTTTTTTCTTGTTACTTTTAAAAAAAAAATTCCCGATTTAATATTTGAAATATGTTGTAGCGGACAGTGGGTTTACGTGTTGTTAAATTAGGAACACGTGTGTTTATTCCTGCTAGAATATTAAAAGGTCTACTACAAGAACATGGCGGACTCAGAGATTGAATCCACCATAAAGAAATTTAAAGAAAACCAACAAGACCTGATATATATATATATATATATATATATATATATATATATATATATATATATATATCAACAAATGCATGTATTAAACAAACAAAATTTACAATGGACATTAATATTTGCGTTTGTGTGTGAACGTAAAGAGTTTGTATCTTGATGAATGTTCGTACGTACGTGTATGTGTGTATATTGTTCATGGCGTCTCTCACAAATGGGAAGACGCAATATTCTCGAGAGAGCTTACATTGTAGATGTGTTCGCTAAAAAAGAAGAAATGAAAAAGAGAAAATGAGAACGAGGTAAGAAATCGACCAGTATTTATAGTGTAGGGAGAGCGTCCCCTAGTGAACAATTTGGACAATTAAGGAGGAGTTAATTCCGACGAGGTTATGTAAAATACATACTTGAAATTTCACAGGAACTGATCGTTAGTTCTCATTAATATAAGATTCGGAACGTTTTTGATTATGTGAGCAAAAGGTTATTTAGAAGATCTGACTAAATTACTTGTCAGAAAAATGTATACGTATCCACGAGGATATAATGTGGCCTTGAGACCCCACCTCACTTTTTGCTGGAACTGAAAAGTAAAACGAATACTAAATTTACCTTACACTATTTACATTATTCAGACTGACCACATATGGAGAGAAAAGGGAGATCACCGCCCTCTGTGGGATCAAGTTGAGATCATAGACAAAGAACATCATTGAAAAATTCGTAAACTTAAGGAATCAGCACATATGCTAGGCCGCAAAAATCTTCTGAGCTGACCAAGCATAGAAATGAATACAATGAGGGAACCAGTAATAAGGAGTGCCAGAGAAAAGTGATAATAACAACAAAAATTGCAATATGAGCACTGGTAAAAATGGTTATGAAGACATTAGGTTTATAATACCCAGAAATTCATATACAGATGTCTTCAAGGACACATGGCACAGTGGGTAAAGGCGTTAGTTAGATCCAGTGACAGGACCCAAAGAGTGTGAGTTCAATAGTAAAGTAACGTTAAGGCGATGGAGAACTTTGAGAGGGGAATTAACAGGAGATAACTGACATCCATTAAACATGGATGTCAGTTAGAACAGTCTACCCCAGTGAGTGAATAGGGTCGGAGCGTATAACGGCCCAAACGTTGTAATAAACATGGCGACAAAGATTCGGACAACAGTCCGAATAATGTAAATAGTGTACATAATACCTCATCTTAGAAATACAGACAGATACTAAATTTACCTTCTTTCAAATTATCTTCAAATGTCTGTCTGACTCATTGCGAGAATTAAATTGTCAAACATTGTATTTATGAACATCTAACCTAACAAACAAATAACCCGTTCTGTTTACAAGTAGATGAGCTTCTGCACTTATTAATGTGTGCACTTAGATGAGGCAGTGTGTGTCCGGTGACTAGTAAGTGGACGATACTATTTACTTGGTAAAGGAAGAATCCATTGTCATTTCATATGCGAAATATGATTACATAGAGAAATGATGACATAAATTATTTAAGAAATTAAGCATTGTGATAATTACCAATTAAAAAAAACGATAATAATTAGTTTAATTAGAATGAAACAATTTGAGAATCTAAAAAAGTTAATTTCACTCGGGGAAAGAAAAGTGCAGAAAATTAGACAATAATTTCAGTCGCTGCTTGTTGCTATTTTCCCGCCAAATATTTTTGTCTTTTCTCGTGTGATTTTGTTACCAAACAACGAAGAATAATGCTTTGTCATTTCTTGCTATCTCAGCATGTATTTTCATCCAGATATATAAGTTCTGTGGAAGACAAATGAACGCCTGCTAATTCACAGGTGCTTGTTTTATCCAATCTGTCATCTTTCCGGCAACTCTCATGCAGGAACAACATTCAGTGGCGATTCTACAGCGGTGGGCAGAAGGGGGACAATGACCCCCAGGGATTTTGTCTGGCCCCTCGGTTGTCCCCCACAACTTTTCTAAGTTTTGTAGAGGAAAAACTCAGAGTAGGCAAATTACACTGTTCTGCTAGTACTGACGTTAGTATTAACCCTTTGATTTTGTTTTGAAGTTAACCCCTCTCTTGTGGTCCAACAGCTTGGGAGTGGAAAAGAGGGCAAGAATAGATTAGAACTCCACTACTATGAATGAAAAGTTATTCAGTTTAATTTAGTGAAGTAACATACTTGTACTAAAACTCATTCCGAAGATGTGTATACGATAGTCGTGTAGTATGAAAATAAAGATGCTGCTCGAATTTGCCTGCCTCCTCCGCAAAAAGAAACCTCGGCCCTCAAGTGCACCCCCCCTTTTCAGTGTTCCGTAATCGCCACTGACTACATGTGTTTTAAAAAACAGTTTATCCAATGTTTTGTGCCGATGTATTGAAAACGCCAACAGAATTTCAGTAACAGAACAGTTCCGTTACACTTACGCATGCTCAATGTAAGCAGTCTTCAACTTTGTGGGTGGATCGATCACCGTTTTTTTATATCTACCACTAAAAGCATACGGAGAATGATTTTATCTATCGATAATTTAATATTATATGATTTATTTCATCTCATTTTATTAAAAAATGTTTTTGATCTCATATTTGATTTTTTTTTTTATACGTGCTTTCTTTCTTTCTTTTTTTTTTGCAAATGGTTCTCCTAACATTACGAAGACCGTCACATTTATACCCTTCTGTACAAACTAGTGTTGAATTTGGTTTGCTTGATTTTATTTAACTGAATATCAACATCTCTATGGGTCATTTAATACCGAAATCTAAATATTTTGAATATTATTTTATGCCTTCAACTAAATATGCCTTTCTTTTTACGTGCCGTGACCCTTCAGGACGTAAGCGATCATGGCTCTCCACTTTCACGCATCCCTTTGTAGCTCTCAATAAGTTTTGTCTCTTTGCTACTTGCCCCAGGCCCTGTTCTATCATCCACCCCTTAGGTATATCATCCATTCCCTTCCAGGGTATGTTATCTGATGTATAAGCTTCCTCCTTGTTTGCATCCTCTCCAAAACCTCATAGTTGCTCACACGCTCGGTCCATGATATCCTTAGCATCTTGCTCCGCTGCCTCGAGTCTCTTCTTCATCTTTAAGGAGACAGTCCAACATTCGCTGCCGTATAGGAGGACAGATATCACGTAGCAGCTCAGTATTCTTTCCTTTTTTTTACCAAAAACCTCCTCCTGCCTCGTAATACTCTGCCTAGCTTTTTTTTTACCAAAGACCTCCTCCTGCCTCGTAATACTCTGCCTAGCGTTTTTTTTACCAAAGACTTCCTCCTGCCTCGTAATACTCTGCCTAGCTTTTTTTTTACCAAAGACCTCTTCCTTCCTCGTAATACTCTGCCTAGCTTTTTTTTACCAAAGACCTCCTGCCCCGGAATACTCTGCCTAGCTTTTTTTTACCAAAGACCTCCTCCTGCCTCGTAATACTCTGCCTAGCTTTTTTTACCAAAGACCTCCTCCTGCCTCGTAATACTCTGCCTAGCGTTTTTTTTACCAAAGACTTCCCCCTGCCTCGTAATACTCTGCCTAGCTTTTTTTTTTTACCAAAGACCTCTTCCTTCCTCGTAATACTCTGCCTAGCTTTTTTTTTACCAAAGACCTCCTGCCCTGAATACTCTGCCTAGCTTTTTTTTACCAAAGACCTCCTCCTGCCTCGTAATACTCTGCCTAGCTTTTTTTACCAAAGACCTCCTCCTGCCTCATAATACTCTGCCTAGCTTTTTTTTTTTACCAAAGACCTCCTCCTGCCTCGTAATACTCTGCCTAGCTTTTTTGTACCAAAGACCTCCTCCTGCCTCGTAATACTCTGTCTAGCTTTTTTTACCAAAGACCTCCTCCTGCCTGGTAATACTCTGCCTAGCTTTTTTTTTTACCAAAGACCTCCTCCTGCCTGGTAATACTCTGTCTAGCTTTTTTTTTTTACCAAAGACCTCCTCCTGCCTCGTAATACTCTGCCTAGCTTTTTTTTTTACCAAAGACCTCCTCCTGCCTCGTAATACTCTGTCTAGCTTTTTTTTACCAAAGACCTCCTCCTGTCTCGTAATACTCTGCCTAGCTTTTTGAATGTGTCTTTGGCCATCTCAATACGTTATTAGTATGGTGGTATCTGCCACACAGAGTTTACTGACTATTCTGTGTTAGGAAGAATAATGTTTTAGCCTTCCAGTAGCACACCGATACTAATATTAGCATTAGCGTAGCCATTGATACACTAACACTGAATACGAATATAAAAAGACGAAATACGCGAGCGTAACAAACAAAACGTTTAATATGGCAAACAACTTACGTACATATATTCAAAAGATTTACATATGTCCCAAAACAAATGATTGTCCATAATGTCCCAAGGGAACGAGGAGGTTTACAGAATTAGAACAAAGAAATAACATACCAACTTTATGGCCTTTGGTCGTCCGCAGATAAGTGAACCGAAGGTACGTTTTTCTTTCGCTAGGCCGTACACATGTTGACCAGTTTCCACGCGTGTGGACACCCTGGTGGTCAGGAAGGTAAAGAGGCCGTTCCTCCCAGAACGGAAGTAAAGACAAAAAAGGGCAGAAGAGTTCTACTCTCTAAAAGGGGCCAAAACTCTCATGAGCTAAACACAAGGGAAAACAACTGTTGTCTCCCTACAACGTCTTCGGATCTCAGCGCCGCACTTGTCCTCTGTCAAAACACTTCCCATATATTTAAATTTCCGTACCTGCTTGGTTTTAGTGTCCTCGCTATATTAAACACAAGTGTATACCTTCAACTACAGGTATTTTATACAATGTTGTAACCCAAAATATTAGGGACAACAAAATATAACAAAACACAGTTAAATATATTTTAAAACACAACGATAATTGTTTATATTCGCACTGGACAGGATACAAAAGGATTGGGTTGGATAAACAATTCACTGTCTACAATTGTCCAGCAGCCATGTTGTTGTCTGATAATACCCTTTTTTCCGTGAAGAGTCAATGATTCGTTAGGTAAGAGTTGTCTCCCCTAACATACAATTTTCCATACTTCCAGAGTAAACGGCTCTTTTATAGATATGTGGCGGACATGAGACAGAACCTGGGACGAGCACAACTGGTCACGACTTGCCTTGTCCCCGCCAAAAAAGAGCCCGTATTTGCTTAGCATGTAAAGCTACTGCAGTTGAAATGAGGGAGTTCTTCGAGTGACGTTCACGGTTGGTGGCAAGAACAGTCTGTTAGTGTGATTTGGAGACAGAACTCAAGAAGGAACGACTCAAGGTTGAAATACCAGCTGGGGGAGCTTGAATTTACTCGCTGGTTGCTGTTTTCTTTATTTCGCCTCAAGATATATAGTATATACGTGATCTGCTATACGTGTTATACGTGTCGTTTTGTTTTGAGGGCGGTTAGATAGTAGCCACCTGCTTAGTGTGGAAACAAGCATTGCTGATCACTTATTTCAGTTTAGGGAGAGAAAGCGACTATGGAGGTGTCACTAATTAGCTGTAGCCGAAAGTATTTGGTCGACGAATTAAGTAGAAAGAAAGAGGACAAATATAGACGGAGGGAATGAAAAGGTGAAGAGAACAAGTTGAACTAGATAGGATTTTACAAACAACAAGTAAGAGACATTATTCGCTATACTTGTTGTTTGTAAAATCCTATCTAGTTCAACTTTTTCTCTTCACCTTTTCAATGTGTACCAGACCTTGAAGGAACTGTATACAGATAACTTTAAAACGTGGATGAAATGAACTAAATGAAAATGAAAATTTAAAGTTGGAGACATTAAGAAAAGCTTCCCTACACGCAAGCTGCTAGTGGCCCGCTGTCGAGCCGCCGATGTTCTTATTCATCACATAAGAACTTGGTTGGGGCTTACGGCTACATCACGTTGAAACAACGGTTCTGGTATGATCACCGAAATTAAGCAACGTTGAGCCTGGGCAGTACCTAGATGGGTTACCGCTTTGGAATACCAAGTTCTGTAAATTTGGATGCGTGGGTGGTGTAATGGATAATGGCTCGGAATTGTTAATTGGAGAGACTAGTTCCATTTAATTCCTGATGGCTTCGTTATATTCATTTACGCGCAAATACCTTTGAAAAAGGTATGAATCAACCTCTTTTCCCTCCATCTATGGGTTAATTAGTATGACTTGCATCACTAAATCATTATTATCTCAAAAAAAATCCTACAGTCTAAAAATATTTTCTGGCTTTAAATAACCTGCAAAGCGTTGATAAGCTGTGAAAACTGAATCAGTCAAACAAAAAAAAAATAGAATAAAAAAACGTTACTAAATTTTCTTCTGTGAATGTTGGGAAATCTTCCTCTGTGAATGTTGCTAAATTTTCTTCTATGAATGTTAGGAAATTTTCCTCTGTGAATGTTGCTAAATTTTCCTCTGTGAATGTTGCTAAATTTTCTTCTGTTAATGTTGGGAAATTTTCCTCTTTGAGTGTTGCTAAATTTTCTTCTGCGAATGTTGGGAAATTTCCCTCTGTGTATTTTGCTAAATTTTCTTCTGTGAATGTTTGGAAATTTTCCTCTGTGAATGTTGCTAAATTTTCTGTGAATGTTTGGAAATTTTCCTCTGTGTATTTTGCTAAATTTTCTTCTGTGAATGTTGGGAAATCTTTCCTCTGTGTAATTTGCTAAATTTTCCTCTGTGAATGTTTGGAAATTTTCCTCTGTGAATGTTGCTAAATTTTCTTCTGTGAATGTTTGGAAATTATCTTCTGTGAATGTTGCTAAATTTTCTTCTGTGAATGTTGGGAAAATTTCCCTTTGTGAATGTTGCCTTAATTTTCTTCTGTGAATGTTGCACAAAGCGTGCCGTTAAATTTAGGAGGCCAAGTGAGGGAAAACACGATTTTCCTTTACTTTTTCAGAACTCCACCTTGGCACCACCGTCTTTTTTTGGTGAAACAGCATAACGTGTGTGAACAAAACACATGCCCGGAGAAAAGTCATCTGGTACTTCATCACCAAGTCACTCCATTCCGACGCCAGCAAGTCTAGGCCCCTCACAAACGTTTTGAATTAGTTCCTCGGAGGCACGATAAATTTTTCCTGTTAAACCCGACTTGTATTTCTTTTACAAGCAAGGTTATATTGCATTTGGAATGACTTTGAAGCATATCAGACGAGGGCTGCCCAGAATGTATCCAGCCATTTTGAATATTTCGAAAACTGGTTGCACAGAGTTGACATAACTTGGTAATCAAAGAAAAAGGACTTAAGAGAGTTTCACAAGCGAGAGGTGCGAGAGAAGAAACTGTTAGCAGAGAACTTACGGTTGCATTTAACCAATTCAACTATAAAAAGGAATTAACTATACTATGTGTGAATAAACACGTAGCGTGGGGTTACTCACTCAACAGTGAGAGATGTCACTGAATAAACTGGTGTAGCGTGTTAATGTCATCATCAAACTGACCGAGCGAGCAAAGTTTTCGTAGTTCGTGTATTATTTTTTTTCATAATGGTAATGGTATTATTAGCCGTTTCCTTATAAGGAAACATTCAGCATTCATTGAGCGAGAACTAGAGCTACTGGCGGCTGAAATTTTAAAAAAAATCAGGAAAAGAGTTTTTTTCATGTCCTGTAGTAGTTATCGCTCTTTCTAATATTGATAGGGGTTTCCTTCCTAACCTTTTGCCTGAAGTAGTGTGGAATGTCAACTTTTTGATTATGTTATTATTTTATCTTCGAGTTACATGTGATATCCATTTTAGTTTTTGCTGCTGTTGAAACTCCTCAAGTGATTCTTTTCTGTTAAACTCCGTTGTGGCTATTTGTTTTGGATTCTTTTCTGTTATTTCGTATAGTCGTTTGTTCGTGACTGTGTAGCGCCAGTCCACACGATTCAAAAAAGGATAGTCCACACTAAGATCCAACGAAGCTTTTTTACTCCTTGAATCTGAGAAAGTGATTGTCTACGGTTGACAGTTTAGATATTTCCGAACGAATTGGACGCCTTGCATGTCCTATATGAACGTCTCGATCTGACAAGACTATTTAATAATCTTTGCAAATTAACATCTGCGAAAGGTAGGAAGCCATTTCTTCTCGCCCTAGCTATGGATTAAATATCAGGGATGACTGCATTTTCTTGGCTTAAACTGGCAACCAGCCTAGACGAAGGAAAAGTCTGCATCTCAAACCAGCCTGAAGAGTTATATGACCCATCAGGCCATCTTACCGTAGTCATACCACTGTTGCTATGACCCTATGCGTCCACCACATGCAATCGGTTTAAATAACAGTACTGACTGGATTCTCATGTCTTGAAGTGGTAACCAATCTAGAAGAAAGAAAACTCTGAATTTAAAACCAGGCTGAAGAGAGATGAGGTTCATCAGGCTATCTTACCTTAGACACACCACTGCTTCTTTGGCTGCAGTACATGTAATGCTTCTACACCCTAAAGAATTATAGGACTCGTAATGTCATGATGAAGCCAAAGGACAGGATCTTTTAGAAAACAATGGTTGATAACATTAAGCAAAGTATATGAAATTAATACAATTTATTATTATTTAATACATTGATCTGAGAAAGTGGTTGTATACGACAGACAGTTTAGGTATTCCTGAACTAGTTTGACACAACACGTAATATCCATATGAAAGTCTCGATCTAACGAGGTTATTTAAGAACATGACCCGAGTTTGTTTTTTTTTTTATATTAATGTTTTGGTTTTGTAGCAACATGCGGTATTGGGTGAGACTACCCCTAGCACAGCCTATTCTATGTTCAATTTCCTTTTCTCCTCCGTCAAGTCTCTCAGCTTCTCTACAGTTCCAATTTCGCTGCCTGCGATTCTAGTGTTCTCTCAAAGCTAAATTCGCCGTGGAAGAGAATGCAGAAAGCGCGATGTGAAGATGGCGATCAAGAACCAGAATATTGGTGATTCTTTTGAAAAATGGAAGGGCATTAGGATAAGCGTGAGAGGTTCCAAGCAGGGAACCTAAAAATAGACTAAGTCGCCCTTAAACTAATCAAGATGTTTTTAGTTAATATGTGGCAGAATATATTTCAGCCAGGCCTACTATATCATGTCGGCCATATCATTTCAGCCAGGCCTACTATATCATGTCGGCCATATCATTTCAGCCAGGCCTACTATATCATGTCGGCCATATCATTTCAGCCAGACCTACTATATCATGTCGGCCATAAGAAATGAAGCAGTGACTCTGCTGCTATGCAATGTCGGTATTCCTAGATCACAGTAAATACCGGACAATGCCCTCACAGATGAAGAAGAAATTTGAGGCAGACATGCAACTTTACAGAATTGTGCCAAGAATACCATAAACTGAACATGAGTAACGAGGAAGTTTTGAGGCATCTAGAAACAAAAAGAACTCATAAATAGAAGCAGAAAACGAGATGAAATTTTAGGAGACATAATGAAGGAAGAAGGCTTGGAAAATTTAACACTCACAAGATATAAGGTAAGAGGGCCAAAGGGAAACAGCGAGTAAACCACATAATGATATTGTGTAAATAGATGGTAGAGCAGAGAGTAGGAAGGATAGTAAAAATAAAAAACAAGAACATTTCTAATAGTCACAAAGCATAGGATGTCGTGGAGAGTCATGATTCACCATTTCCCGAATGGGACTGAGAAGAAGTAGGACGTTGTGGCTATTTGTTTTGGCAAGTGACCACAAATAGTTTCACCAAAACTCACTAAGTAGTAATTGTAGCTTGATATACATTACCACTCTCCGAGGTGCCCGCTACTAGTAATGTTGTTTACTCATACAGGATGACCCCAAAAAACGGGAACTTTTCAACAATCCAATAAAAGTAAAAATTATGGAAGAAAAATATTTCATTCATAATAACTGAAACCTTAAAACATGCCATTTAAGAAACAATGATGAAATTTTCATTTTTTTAAAATGACGTCCTGTAGATGGCGTCCTCCTGTACGAATGCATTCTTGAAATCTGCTGTTGAGATTCCTCATTGATTGCTCCAACATCTCCACTGGGATACTGTGAATTTCATCTTGAATTTTAAATGGCGAAATGTTTACTTGCTCAAGGTCACTGTCTCGCAGTGTTGCCACTTGCTCATGTCTGGCAATACGCACTTCAAAAATTCCCGTTTTTTGGGGTCACCCTGTATTTAAAGTTGTAGTTGTACTTGTTGCGGCATTCATCCGGTTGACTGCGTCAAACGAATCCGTCACATTTGAACGAACCAAGCGTATCAGAGGTTGTATTCGTTCGGACGTGCAAATCTATAGTGGGGATTTAGATTTACAATCGACGCCTAACCGCATGAATACACACTTTTAGGATAGGGCAATCCGGCTTGATTTCAGAGTTTCCTTCTCCTTGCCACACAAGGCTACAAGACCCAGTCTACCCTGTTCTCTCGCATAGCTCGGAGAGAAAAGATCGATTCATACCTTTCCCAAGTGAATGTAATGAACTCGACTTGAATTCGAACTCGGCTCTCCGATTCCTAAATCCGAACCGCTAAACATTACTCCAACGTGCCTCCATAAATGCGAGGCTAAATTACCAATGGACGAAGGGTTTGGAAATTGAAATTTTATATTTATTTTTAGTTTACTTTTTAATGTCAGAGCGTATTGGATCATGGTTGTTCATTTTGTTTTGTGTATGGACCTTCACTTCACCCCTTCTCAGGTTATTGTTAGAGAATAATGTCTGACGTATTTCGTATACAACAAATAAACAAAAAAATAACGTTAAAATTCTTTTCCTTCCTTCCTGTCGTGCTACAATGGCATAGTGGTAAGATATCTGAATGATATCAAATCAGACGGGTTTTGATCCCGGCTTGAAGCCATCTGACGTCTAGCCATATTGCGGAGCTGTGACACAGCGAAACAATTTGTCAGTGGATGACTATATATATATATATATATATATACATATAGCTATATACTAGCATGGCCCGGTGTTCTCCGTGCTTGATTCAAAAATCGTACGACAT